AGCTCTTCCCATCCAAATGATGCTGCAGGGCACGGAAGAGATGGTAATCGGAAGGGGCTATGTCAGGGGAATACGGAGGATGGGGCATATATTATTGACTGAAGGTATCTCAGAATTAATGAAAATAAAAATAATCTTGATCGAGAAAAAACGCAAAGACTTATTAGCCAACCTAATATATGGTACGAGATGATGATATAGAGCCAAAACCAGCAACTTGCGTAAGTGGGTTATACGTTGCTATCAAACTTACTGCCAACGTTGGCGCCACGTTCGCCCAACGGTCACTTTCACGTGGGGCCTACGCGAACAACCTACGTTGGGCCAACGTATCCTGACGTTGGAGGACCACGTTGGGCCAACGTGAGCCCAGCGAAAAATGTTTTCTGGGTCTAGATATCCCTAACCGAACTTTGAACCTTGATAACGCTGTCAACCAAGCCTGCCACTGCTCGGTCTCCCCGAGTCTCTGCTTGTTTATCCAAGCAGGTAAAGGAAAATGACGAAAATGACCTCACACTAATGCACTTTTTTTTCTTATCTCGCGCTATTAATAAAAAAAAAAGCATACAAAAACGACTGGTTGTATTTCCTTTGAATAGAATACATTTGATTATGAAAAGTATTAATATTCATATTCGAAATTGCATGTACGCATCTTCATTAGTACGGCTGTAGCAACCAAATGAAAAAAAGTGGGAAATTTATTTTTGCTCACCCTGTACGGACACTTCGTTGATGTGATGCTACGCATGTGTTCGCCGTGATGTTCACTCGCTGAGAGCGGTAGATCGGAGTTGATATAGTATATAGTCAATTGTTGATCTCTCTGTTTCACGACTTGGTTGTGGCTCTGTGCATCAGTATACAGATTATTAGTGTTAATAGGATTAGTGTAATGTACATTAAGCCCAAATTATGAGTATTCGTATTGGTTTACTATGCTCTTCACTTAGCCTGGACACTGGCATGGGATGTTCCTTGAGTAAGTGTGTCGACTCAAGTGAAAAACTGTAGGCCAATGTTGCATCTCTGCTTCTTACTGGTACCGTTCGGAGGTGTGATAGGGCTGAAGTGGGAGGGAGGAGTGTTGACGTAACAAACCATACTCTTCCTTGACACATCATTGGAGTGGCATCAGTGGCATGTAGTAACACAAATGACATAATCTCATTAGAATTAATTTATCTAGATTGATTGCCATCTGCCAGCTGAAATGTACAATGGACTTGGTTAGGCCTAGCTCAGTGCCTGTCTTAAACCTACTGATCCTAAGTCTAACCTCATTTACACTTTCTGTTCAAGTGATTCCCAATTTATGAGGCTTCTATGGCCTTTTCATACTTTTCATACTTTTTAAAGTATGTTTTAAAATATTCATGGAGGACTTACCTTGCTGTTTTTGACTGGGTGGCTAGATGGATGAATTAAAGAAGTTGGAGCATCTCTCATTGGTCTCAAAAATATGCACCGAGTTGGAGAACCACTTGGGAATAAATGACAAAGATTTGGGTGAGTTAATTTTTTAAAATACTTCTATGACATGTGTGAAGGCTGACATGATTTGATTGGCTGAGAATTACAATAATTATTTAACAAAATTTGAGATTGAAAAATTCTAGTCAATTTAAAATAGCACTTTGTGAAAATACTTTTGCAAGAGTCCTTACTGTATTTGTTGAGGAGTAAATGACATGAAGTAGTTCATCTTGAATAAAGGAAAATTAACTGTAGGTGTACTTTTCTGAGAAAGAAGGAAAAGCAGGCCTGGTTAGACTATGGGTACAAATGATTCTGAAGTTATGAATTAATAGAAACAGGAGGAATACCATGTCTACATATTCATTCTCTTACGTTCAAGGGAGTATCATATGAGGGGCATGCATGGGTCAAGAACACTCTCAAATACTTGTGTAGACTCCTTTGGTTGGAAATTCTTTGCCAATGGCAAAATACTGGGTGAAAAATTTGAAGACATATGTAACTTATATCTAGTTGTAACTGGGCTATGATTTTGTGTACATAGGTATTATTTGAACAAAGGTTTTTAATGTCAATGGTGCCAAAAAGCTAAATGGGGAATTTGTTGAAGTAGGGTAAAACCATCTATGCTTGGACAGTATCTAAGTTCAGACACCATAAAATAAATTTGAATAAAAGAAAGCATTTATGAGATCACCCTCGGAAACAGCTCTTCTAAGCTGTGGAAAATTGTTTCTGAGGGAGAGTTCATCAATGCTTGGTTTTGGAATGATGTACTTGATAGTGTTTGACTGAGGTACTGCTTGAACATATATGGTTTTACCCTACTTATGTCTGAGTGCCCTAATAGCACAGTTCTTTTTTATATGTTAACATCCCAGAGATGTTTACAAATTTGTGAGCCACTGATAGAGTGCTGTTATAAGGTACAAATCTCCTAGTTACCAAATGTTCCAGTGATTTGGACTTCTCCCATCAGGTTCTGAAAGTTCTTGAAGCAGCAATAATCTTAAAATTTAACTTTTTGCATATATGATGAATGTTCGGGTGAGCTTAACCCTTTGAGGAGTATGAGCCTACTGATATGTCCATACTCCTGAAAGGTTTAAGAAACCTTGTTTCTCAAAGGGTTAAGGAGGACAGAGACAGAGATATATTCTTGATTGAGTCAAACCCCCAAAAATGTAAAAATTGTATAATATGCTGCAAGCATTGATTATTATCAGCTTTTGGCCTGCTCAATGGGTCTCACTTTATCCCTAGGCACATAATACTTGAAAGATAGGGTATGGAAGGAGCTGATTAACTAGGCTGCATTTCTGTTGTGGGTAATTTGGGGTGTGTCTGCCTTTTATAAATATGGCTGGAGGTGCTATTTGTCCCTTGTGGAAAAAAATCTAGAAAACTTGGGAAACTAGAAGGAAGAACATGAGAAAATGGGATAGAAAAAAGCTATTGAACAAAATATGGTCTGTAGAATGTCCAGGTGAGGCTCATGAAAGAAAAGAAGCAATCCAGTTTGGGTGCCCATTAACTGCTGCTCTGCTTCTCATGGAGCTGGGAACTATAATGAAGTTTTCTGCCTTGTCACAAATAAGTCGGTATCTACACGGTTGTGACCTTTCACACAAAAAAATTTGAATGAGGGGATATTTGACATAATATAGTGAAGCTCCCTCATGTAATTGGATACAAGAGCTGGATCCAGATCTAAAAAATCTAATTGCAAGATGGTGGCAGGCATCTATAACAAACACTAGGATTGCTTCTGTTCTATCTTGAAATTGCCTTTTCATCAACCAAGTTTTTGATCTGAATTTGAAATCTAAATATCATTCATTTTGGTTTGTCCAGACTTTGTTACTACCAAGTAGTTATAAACCTACATTCCATGGTTTCTCTTTCTCTACTCTGGTAGATAGAATAATTGTTTGCAATATTTCCCTTTTTGCAGCTGAATTCATCATTGATTTGGCACACAAGAATCCCATCCTGGAGAAATTCAAGAAGGCTCTTGAGGAGAATGGAGGAGAAATGCCAGTAAGTAAACATTAACCCATTTGCACCCTAGGTCTTATGCTTGGAAATTGACATGAATGTGTTCTGCAGGCAAAATATCACCCCTTATGTTATTTTATTTTTTATTTCACCAAGTAACAAAGTCATTTAAATTATTCTTGGAATTTAATTGTATTTTAATTATAATAATTTTAGGTTATTCATATGCTGTTTATATAAAATTTTATATTTTATTTACATTGAGTTTTCATTAATAATTAATCAAAACATTTTTGAAAATTTGCCTGAAGTCAAATTATTGGTACATGCCTCAAGATTTTCAAATCTTCAAAAAGTTTAATCAAGTTCTTTAAATTGTTGAATTATTCAGTATCTTTCTGATGTTAGTTTGCAGGACTGCTTAGAAGAGAGCAACTTTAGAATTAAAGCCATTCCAGAATGAAACTTCTATCTTCATCTGGAGGAAAGTTAATGTTGAAACACTTATGGAGTTCCAGTCCAGGTATTTTCACTTAACAAAAAACAAGTAACAGTTAAAGTCATATATCAGGAGAAGAATGCAAGATATCAAGAAATGGTTAAAAGGAACTTCATTAAAATCAATCTTGCTACAGCTCTGCCAATTTTGATAAAAATTGGGCTTGATCAAGGTCTTCATTTATCTGATATGTGGTGTTGTATATCACATGTCATTCTGGACCATTTAAATTGTAGGTCATCCTGATATATTGCCTATTAGAAACCTATTTATGGGAATACTACTAAGAATTCATCCAGAGGCACAAGATACAGTCTAGGAAAATGGGCATTGCCTTGCTTTCATCATTTACACTGTTTGCTACAAATGAGGGCATGATGTTAGACCATTCCAATTTTGGGATGCTAGTAAAAGGAATGGGTTAAGCTCCTGGTCAGATATTTATTCATAAATACTAAGAAATACTCCTGACATGAATGCTCTCTCCAACTGAATGAAACTTGAAGTATGTATGTCATGATGTCATTGTGGTTGCTTGCCCTGTCTTTTCTGTATAACTAAGACTTAATGAAAATCCATTTCCATAAGATGGAAATCAATAAGGGGTGTCCAAAAAGTTCCCACAAACATCTAATAAAATATCTAATTAATAAAAACTAAACCATTGTTTTCATCTTTACCAAAATTGTTGCGCAGAAACATTGCACCTCCCGTAGCCCACAAAATAATCACTGTTTGAATCTATGCACTTCTGCCATCTGGAGGGCAACAATTTTATACCCATTTTGTAGAAGCCTATGTCTTACTGTTGAGTGCATTCAAAACTACGCAAGTTATTGCCAATTTTCAGAAGGCTGTTGCCAGCCACCCATCTTATAGCCCGGACTACTCCAACTGTCACCAGTTTGGCCAGTTGAAAGACCAAAATTGTGGAATATGCTTCATCAGTGGTGAAGATCTTCAAAATTCTTTAAGACTATGGCTACAACAAGTAACAGGTTTCTACAGAAGTCAGAATACAATTATTGCCTTCCAGATGGCAGAAGTGCATAGATTTGAAAAGTGATTATTTTGAGGACTAAGAGAGGTATAATGTTTCTGTGTACTAATTTAGGTAACAATGAAAACAATGGTTTAGACATCGTTTGATGTTTACTGAAACTTTTCAGGTACCCTGTGAATGATGTGCAATTTGACACTTGCCCTGACATAGAGAATTCTGTAGAACTCTTTTGTTTTGTGCCAGTACATGCTACATGATAAAATTGTTTATTGAAGTGCAGGATATGCTTTTCACATGGTTCCTTGACCCATACATTTTGGTCCCTCACAGGATTCGTTGGTGGGCAACCTCCTTCGAATCATTCAACACATGGAGTCCAAAACTGGAGGGAAGGAGAACAAAGGAGTGGTCACTGTTTCTCCTTCATCTGCAAAGCAAAAATCTGAACTGCTACCCTTTTTGGCTATTCCAAACAACCCTTCCATTCGCACCATGTTGGAAGATGAGGTCAAGAAAGAGGAACAAGATAAGAAAACTGTTGATGATGCCATGGCTGCATTGGAGGCCCTGGCTCCCTCTAAGGCTGCTGCCCCTGAGGAAAGGTGATCCTAAAGCCTTTTTTTAAATAGTAATATAGGCATGTCTCCTCAATGTATGAGGACTGTTCATTTAATTCACAGACAGGGTCAAGCTTTCTCAGAACACCCACTTTTTGAAAATGCTGTGCCTGGAGGATGATGCAATAGTTGTTATTGCACAGTTGCATGGGTGCATTGTTGGAGGAAGTGTGTTTGGATTGCAGGGGGAGTTTATTGAAAAGGACAGGATTAATCTGGATGAGGACTAAGTGAGTATGTGTATAACAGCATTTGTCTGTGAATTAAATGAACAACCCTCATATATTATGATTCCTGAGTATAAATTTTACAGGTCTATTAGATTGTTTAAAAAAAAAAGATCTTTTATGCAGAATTTTGACTTGAGACATAAAATATTCATTTTACCCACTCTTAACTAAGTAATTACTTGTTACCTGTCAGCATTGGGACTACTAGCCTTTCCACTGGCACTGGCCAGTGAAGTCTGCTATAATTCTCAAAATTTTCCATTTTTTTCTTCCTTCTTTGCTTGTCATAACAAGGGAGCAGATTTTTATGTGCTAATGAGTCCTAAAATATACACCTACATATGCACCTTAAAGTGTCAAAATATGCATAAAACATGCACAAAAGCTACAAAATAGACAAAATCTTGGCTATTAAAATACAGAAGGAATTATTCAGAAGAAGGAACAACAATTTACATTTCATATTACCAAGCTCCCCTTCACCCACTAAGTAGATTGAGAAATTTGGAGATGAACCATTTGCACTCCACTGTCATGCAACATCATGAATTTGCAATTATGTTCCGGTGTCATGATATGCTTCTGTATCATTAAACCTCACACCTTTCCCATTATTGAAATAGACATGCTGGACTCCAGAACAATTAAAAAAGTGTTGAAATTCATATTGCATTGTATGGAATTCCCATGAGATTCCTACTGTAGCCCAAGCTCTATATGAATCTGTTGTATGGATGGGCTTATATATAGAATTGCATTGGTTTGTATGGAAATATTTCTTCATTTTCTTGAGGAGTGATATCTACAATGATGAGGGATGTTTCTCTTCACCATAGTGTGAAGTCAGCAAAGAAGAGAGACAGAGAGAGAAGTCGAAGCAGAAGTCATGACAGGAGTAGGAGAAAAGAACGATATGGTGGTAGCAGAAGTCGGGAACACAGGAGGCACACAAGTCAAGACAGGTCATTGTCATGATTGATTTCTGCTAGTAGAATGTAACCCCAGAATGAGGTTCTTAACTTTTGCATGTCATTTGGTGTGTGAACACCATTTGCCTTTTCAATCTGCATATATTACCATTGAAGATGCAAGTACTTCAGTTGAAAAAATTTGTTCTTACATGATTAGGAGTCGTTCAAGGAGTCGGAGCAGAAGCCGTAGCCACAGACATAGCCAAAGTCGAGACAAAGAGCATTGGAAGAATAGAGGCACTGAGAGAGAAAAAGAGCACAAGGGGGGCATCAAGGATGTTTTTGTTCAACATGTACCTGACTCTGAGCCACAAGTTAGCAAGGTAATTCCAATAACACCACAGCCTCATTTCTTGCAGCTTGAGGAAAAATATCCCCTAATGATGAAAATTGTTCTCTGATTCTTGGTAGATATATGATGGGAAGGTAACAAGTGTGATGACATTTGGATGCTTTGTCCAACTGGAAGGCATGAGAAGACGTCGTTGGGAGGGTTTGGTGCATATTTCCCAGTTGCGACGTGAGGGCCGTGTTCAGAATGTCTCAGATGTTGTTGTCAGAGGGCAGAGGGTCAAGGTAAAAAAGCATTGTTCTCTTCAGTCATATAGGAGTGAGAACAAATCAACACAGTAGCTCTTCTTGGTTTAGGTTAAAGTGCTGTCTTTTACTGGTGAGAAGATCTCCTTGTCAATGAAGGAAGTGGACCAGAATACAGGAGAGGATCTCAATCCAAGTTCTAGTGTTCCTGGCTCTCGGATGAATCAGTGAGTATCAACTTTCTCTCTGGTAGACTAGATTATTTGAAGTTATTTGGGAATGGTACATGCCTTTGATAACTGTTTATCTTAACCCCTTTAGTGCTACAGTTGAGTATACTCAATTAGCTTGCAGAGGATGAGAAAATGAGAATTGGGTATACTTGATTGTGATCTGATGATGGATAACATTTAATCTACACTGGTGGACTAAGGTAACAGTTTTTTGTCAATATTTTAATTACAATAGTAAATTAGAAGGTGAAAATACTTATGTAATTTTACATGCACATTCCAAATATCCAATCGAAATTGATCTATGTGCTTTTCAACATGCGAATTAATGAAGCCTATAAAAAGGTGGCAGCTATTGACTTCTACTAAGTAAGTCTGTTGGAACATGTACTTTTTGTTTCATTATATAATTATCATAACACAGTTATTACCAGTCCAAAGTTTCTCCTTTTTTATACACCTATTGGTAATGATAAATTGTGTCTGTACAAATTTTCAGTTATATACTGTGCAGAATAAAAACATCATTCTGGTTTTCATGATTGTTACCTTAATTTTGTCCATCACTGTAGTATACTTGATCATAGCACTGAAAGGGGTAAATGTATGAAAAATGCAGCAATTATAAGTCAACATTTAGCAAATGTATGATGGGTGTGGTGAGCAGTTAAAACTCAGCTCTGATGGTGTTGCCACTCGCTGAAAAACTTATTATTGAAAGGGTTAATAGTGAAACTTATTGATGTCATAGTCATACCTGTCTATCTGGCATTGATGTGGGGCCTCCCTTTATAGCATTGCCAATAAGACAATCTGATAATGTTCTATTCTGTTTTTGCACATTGCTCAGCAGATTTTTAGCATTAACTTCGCAATATAATCATACCTCATTGTTCCTTCTCTATTGTGGAATATACAGGGTGACCATTTGAAAAGTTTACCAATGAATGGCCATGTACAAAAGAAACCACTGGACAGAAGAAGCTGAAACTTGGCATGTAAACAGTTTGAAGTATGGGCTTCTCGAATCCGTAGATAAATAAAAAATAAAAAATCAGAGTGTCAAAAGATGGCACTACCAGAGCATGTCACATGGCCAGCAAACAGAATAAAATATCAGTGGATGACCACGGACTGGAAGAGTACGGAACCTAACCAGTGCAAGTCAGTATGCTAGCACTCACTACAAGGATCGAACTGATACAGAAGTTATATGAAAATGGGAGGAATGCGGAGACCACCTTAAGGTCGTACCGTCGAAGCCACAACACAAAAGACAAGAACAATTTCCTTTAAACATTGTTCTTGGCCTCTATGTTCCAATCATTGCAATTCACTCCTAATACTTTGGATGTTGCTCAGGGGCCACAATGAAAGTGCTGCTTTCCAGGTTGGGAGGATTTCTCCAGAGAAAAGCATGAGCCCCATGCTAAATCTGGTATGAATTCATTTGCAAAACACTGTAATTGTTGAGAATGGATGAACCTTATTCTCTGTTAAAGACCTGACTCATTTACAATGTCCCAAACAAACCTGTGCAGGTGCTGCTGGTGGAAAACCCAGCATCCATGCCTGCATTGCAGTGAGCAGCACCAAAACTGACTTTGAAAAAGGAGTTTTTGAAGAGAAAGTGGAAGGAGCCCCTGGAACCAAAAGAGCCCAGCTAAACCCTCTTTAACACGTTTGTTGCTGATAATGCACCTCGTTGTTATCCTTTCCATAGAGAAGTGTGTCATTGGCAGCGAACATGTTCAGGCTGCAGTCTTGCTTGATCCCTTGATATGAAGGAAGGTCATTCTTGGAATCTCCTGTTGAGTGAAACTTAGAGGGTGGTGATTATTAACCCCTTGAACACAAATGGTGCACCCACTTGTGTCATGGAGAAATTATGCTACTGATACACTCAATGCTCATGGGTTGCTCACAGTGAGTGCTTGCAGGAGGGGTAAGTATTACAAGAGGAAGTAAAATTAGAGATAATTTCTTTAAGTGAAGAACTTGAGCAGAAACAAAAAACTTATTTTTTAGAAACAAAATTTTGGCATATGATGGGCATGAAATTGACCAATGCCTGGTGTGTTCAAGGGGTTAAGGTCAGTAACGTAGGCAGGAAATCAGAAAGGGGGGGGGTTGAGACCAGGTAGACACCCCAACCCTACGCTTAGCTTCACTGCCCAAAATTTACCTTTTCAAAGAAATCATGGTCTTCCATCTTGGGTCTGTGGACAGACATCAAACTTTCCTCAATGGTCATAACAAAAATTGGAATTTCCAAGGAAGGTTGAAATATGCCTCTCAGTGTCAGTCACTGACTGGGAAGTCCAGGGGGGGGGGGGGGTTCTAACCCCCTAAACCCCCCCCCCTCTTCCCTATGCCACTGGTTAAGGTGGATATAATTTTGCGTTTCCTAGTGGCCTCATATCTTAAGGCACATTCCACAAACACTACACTGCATACTCTATTGACTGGAGAATATTTACATTTACGTTGCATGTGTGCAGTTAGGACATTGTGTTCTACAGTGGTGAATGTTGTAATACTCAGAGGAAATCAACACTACCAAATACTTACCAAGGAGAAAATGTAGTTCTGTTGACTGAAGGATTCCATTTGTAGTGGTCATGGGGTCAGCTTAACCCTTTCAGCATCCTGCCCAGATGTACTAAAACTTCCCATGGTGTCCACATTTTTTTTAGAGAATTAGCTGCAAGTACTAACAGCACTGAAATTACTATAGAATTTAACTAGCAAAGATAAATTGACTGAACTATCAGGGAAGACTATCCACTTAGCTATGTGATAGGTAGAGTGGTTACGAGTGCCATTTTTGTATATTTTTGTGGATTTGGTGTGTTGTTATCAAGTACAAACTTGGAATTCTGGAGGTGTCATCTAGTACAGGGATTTCAAAACTTTCTACGTATGTGCAACACTTGCCTCCAGGGTGCATATGTTGTATACCATCACTTGTCCCACATAGTACATAAGACTTATACTATATTGCAAAAGAAAAAAAGAAGTATGTTAGGAAACCTCTTCCATACTACCAGTGGTATGCATATCACAGTTTGGGAACTGTCAGTCTAGTATGTCAATTGTTTTGAGCACTTCTTGAAGGGTTCTGATCAAATTCATTGCATTCACAATCAGAGAACTGATCCTAACAACAGCAAACTGTTATCAAGCAACATTGCAAATAATGCTATTACCACATGACAAGTCTAAAAATGAACCATTCTCAAACTTATCTTCAATTTCTTCCCTCTCAAGACACCATACTTGCCTCTTCCAAGCATGACAAAAACATAAATTCAAAGTATAGGTCTAAAGCAGTAGGAGTGCCAATAGGGATCAATAATATTAAGTAAGTAAGATGCCTAGGATGTGTAGATGCGTTCGTTGCAGGGATGAGTGTAGGACAAAATGGCCCCAGATGAAATGACCCCGGACATAATGGTCCCAAATGCAATGTAGGACATAATGGCCCCACACACCAGAAAACCTGCTTCTTTGAATAAGGATTAATTTTTCCCTCACATATGTTGATGTGCTGTTCAAATTCTGTCGGATGTATAATTTTAAACTTCAAAGTTACTTGAATCATTAAATGAAATTACTAATCTATTAAAATAATTATAATTCATTTAAAAAAATTATGTAATGGATGTAATTTTTTTTTATGTACAACAAGTACTAAAATCAGATGGCATGACCAACTCCATGCAGGACCTCCTCCAAGGATTTAAATCCCTCTCCATACTGTGTGCAAATTGTTCTCAGCCTCTGCTGCATTTCCTTGTATACCTGCTTCTGCCTCTTCTTGGGGGGATTCCCTGCAGTTTCTTGCAAAATTGTGTTGTTTGACCGTATTCAAACCAATAATACACACTCAAGAATGAATTAGATATATTTCGGCAAGTAATACTGCCACTTAGGTATAACAGGACGATAAAATATAAAATCCTTTCCATGCACACAATCACCTATTCCATGGGAGAATAACAGATCTTCCTTCTTTTTTCTATACTCCGTAAACGTATGAATATTTGAATAGAGGGAAATTGCTCTTTTATACAAATGTAGCTGCAGTAAAAGTGAAAGTCAGAAGATAGTCATCAATGAAGGCGGTTGGGTGCTGCTAGTGCTGATTGGAGGATCAGAGGATTACAGGGTAAATAAGGTGGGATGTTTGACTTTTCGACTGGGAAGTGCTGATTGGATCAGAGGATTAGAGGGTAAATAGGGTGGGATGGGTCAAGAAAAATTGCATTAGTTGAATAAATTGTGTTAATGAATTATAATTATTTTAATAAATTTTAATAATTTGAACAGCATATCAATATCTGAGAGGGAAAAATTAATCCATATTCAAAGAAGCTGGTTTTCTGGTGTGTGGGGCCATTATGTCCTACATTGCATTTGGGACCATTATGTCCGGGGCCATTTTGTCCGGTTCCCCCTTCACATACATGAAACCTTCGAAGATGACTTTCCGTCCGCCTTTCTGGTTCAAGATGAACTCCATGGTTACTTGAAGTGAAATGAATAAGCTTAAGATACCGTATTTATATATCATCCGTTTGAAGATACAGTGAAAACTCGTTAACTCGAAATTTTAGGGACCGGGCAAATCGTTTCGAGTTATCCGAAGTTCGAGTTATCAGGAATCGC